GTGAGACTTCGACTCAAAAAAAAAAAAAAAGAAAAAAAAAAAGAAGTAGAGAAAATTGTTGAAGAATTTCCCTACAAAAAAAGCACCAGACCTAGAGGATTTCACAGGAGACACAAATCTTTAAAGACCAGATAGTTTCAATGCTACATAAACTCTTCCAGTGCATGAAAAATAAAAGTAAACTTCCAAATTGTTTTTGTGAAGCAAATATAACATTGATACTTACAACAAATATCATATACAAATATAGGTACAAAAATCCTAAAATAAATATTAGCAAACAGAATCGACATCTGCTGTGATTTGGATGTGTTTCCCAAAAGCATGTGTTGGAAACTTAATCCCCAATGCAACAGTACTGAGACATGGAGCCTAATGAGAGGGGATTAGGGCATGAGAATTCTGCCCTCATGAATAGATTAATGCTGTTATCTCAGCAGTGGTTTTGTTATAAAAGGCCAACTTTGGTCCCATTTTCTCTCTCTCCCTCTGTCCCTCTTTTGCCCTTTCACCTTCTGCTAAGAGATGGCAAGAAGGCCACTGCCAAACGCCAGCCCTTGGATCTTGGGATGTTCAGCCTCCAGAACTGTGAGAAATAAATTTCTTTTCTTTATAAATTACAAAATCTCTGGTATCCTGTTATAGCAGCACAAAACAGACTAAGACAATATTATATTAAGAAAATTATTCAACATGACTAAGGGGGATTTATTCCAAGAATGCAAGGTTAGTTGAGTGTTATAACAAAATACACCATATTAAGTGATCTAAGAAGAATCATCTGATAATCTACATTGACACTGAAAAAGCCTTTGATAACATTCAACATTCATTTCAATTAATAAAAACTCATGAAAATAGAAATTGATGACTACTTCCTTAACATGACAAAATATATAAATATATAAATCAATGATCAAATTAACTCAAGCAATAAAAGCATTAAGCAATTAGCAGCATATAAGATTAATATGGAGAAGCCAATTGTGTTCATATATATAAAAATAAATCAAAATATATAATAATGGGTAAATGTCCATTTATAGTAGTAATACAGAAGGTCAAAGGCTTCGAAATAAAACCAGCATCTATTAAATGAAGAATCACCACAGGCATTTACACTAAGATCAGGAACAAGGCAAGGACGAGCCAATGCAATTAGACAAGAGAAATCAATTAGAGGCATAAGAATAAGAAAGTATAACATAAAACTATGTCTATTTACTGATTATGTACTAGTATATACCTCAAAAACCTGAGAGAATCAATGAACAAATTAACTCAAGCAATAAAAGAATCAATTAGCAGAACATAAGATTAATATAGAGAAACCAGTTGTATTCACATATACAAAAATAAATCAAAAGATATAATAATGGGTAAATCTCCATTTATAGTAGTAATATGGAAGGTCAAAGACTTAGAAATAAACTTCATAAGAAATGTATAAAACCTTTATGAAGCAAACTTTTAAATGTGCCTGAAAGAAACAAAGGTAGACATGGAAGAAATGAAAAGATATCCCTTGCTTTTGGAGAGAATGACTCAACATCATTAAAACATCAGCTCGCTCAAAATTTATTTATAAGTAATACAATCAAAATACCAGCAAACTCATTATGGAGCCAAACAAATTAATACAAAAATTTATGTAGAAAAATAAACATGGAAGAATAGCTAGAACACCTGATATTCTAGAAAAAAAAAAAAGCCATGAGAGGTGTCTATTCCCACCACACATTAGATCATTCTGTAAAATCTCTGCAATTAAAACTGTATGATATTGGCACATGAATAAACAGAAAGACTCGTGGAATGGAACAGAAATCCAGAAATAGCCTCAAGTATGCATGGAATTCCAATATATGATGAAGGTTATCTTAAATCACTGGCACATAGATGGGCTCTTTAATGAAATGGTGGAACTGGGTGGCCATTTGGAAAAAAGGTCATATTAGATCCATAAACAAATTTCAAAATTAAAAGAGGAAGAAGAATAGAAGAAAATATGAAAGAATTCCACTATAAACTCAGTATACAGAGAGAGCACAACAAAAAAGACTGATAAACTATACAATATTTGCATGGCAAAAATAATTGATAATTCATTTTTAAAATACATATGTCTAAGAGGATTCCTATATTTTTTATCCAAAAAGTGTTAGTTTACATCTAGTGCAAAGATGATGTCATCTTACCTAAGCAAGATGCTTCTAAAGTTTCACTTAAAAGGAGTGTGTAGAGGGAGAGAAATTGGCTGTGGAGAGGAAGAGAGAGGCTAGTCTTGTGGTCTTGTGTTAGTACTGGCTCCAGTTTTACCTTCTTCAGTTTCCTGTGGGCCCCGCTGTGGTTTCCCTGTGCCAGGTCTGCCCCGCCCAGGAACCGGTATGTCTCTGCCACCTCTGGACTGAAATCACCAAATGCTCCAACTTTGGCTTCCAGGGATTCTCTCAGGATTGAGGTTGCTCTCTGTGAAAGGAACAAAAAGCTGTCTTATTAAAAAGTCCACAGGCTGATTAGATTGGGCCTCTTAAGAAAATTATGTAACTGATGCATATTTTCGATTTTAGAGGAATGAGTTTGATAGTCTCACGAGCTGAGCCAACTCTCCACCAATTGAATAGGAGACAGGAAGTAACATGTGTGGGGGGAAATGGTGTAAACTATGAAGAGGGAATGCATGAAGGACAACTGGCAGAACAAACTCACTTCAGCTATTACAAGAATCCATTTCAGTTGAGTAATAAGAGTAACAGCGAAAACATTGGATCCTCATGTGTCAGGCACTGTGCTAAACAGTTGATGTGTGTGGTCTCATTTGATTTTCACTGTCTTCTTTAGATAGGTACAATTTAAATCCTCATCAGAGAGAGGAGGAAACTGAGGTACAGAGTGGTCAAGAGACTTGCCCTGAGTCAGACAGTTCAACAGTGGTGGAACCAGTAATTTTCAGACTTTTTAATTCCATGCTCCTACCTCTGTAAACACTGCCATTCTTACAGAACTGAAAACTATAGTGTCGACTTATCTACCTACAGAGCATCCAGAACATGCTCCAGGATTTCCCATTCTCATAGGAAATAGTTTAGGAAACCAAGAGTAAATATTCCAACATGATGAGACATTTTGTTTGATTTATCCAATTTATTTATACTAATATGGAAGAAAAAATGTGAATTCGTCAGAAAACAGTATTTTCTGGTAGCAATTTCTTCAGACACCAAGACGGCAGAGTGACTGTGGGACTCGCCAAGTGAGGCCCACTGAAGTATATGAGGGCCACAATTCAAATCCACACTTGTCTGAAGGCAAAACCCACCACATCTCCCACCTATGAGCAAGGACTAAGACTGATGAAAGTGTTGGGTTTAGTAACTTTTCTGTGGGAAATGACTGGCTTTGAGGAGCCAGTGATGGGGAGAAGAGCTAGAGACTCCATTTCCTAAAGCTTCCAATGCGGTCCACAGACTGGAGAAGCTGGAGATGGATGCACAGGGAGTTAGAGGGCGTGTTGAGATGACAGTGAAGAGATGCTACATAGGTCTCTAGGAAACACAGAGGGCACCGGCCTCTCAGAGTGGGGAAGCTTCATGGAAAGGAGTGAAGAGTAAGTAGGACTTAAGTGGGCTGAGAAGAGGGCGTAAGTAGCTGGGAGCACAGGAGAAGGACATGGCCTGTTTAGGGCCAGAGATTGGACTCGTATGACTGTAGGAGAGATAGCATGAAGGGACACAGGCCCACGGCTGGCAGGCAGCCTCTGAGCCAGGCTGAGGAGTTTGGATTTTCCTATAGGGAATAAGAAGTCAGAGAAGGTTCCCAAGTAGGAGAGTGGCATAACTAGAAAATAAATCCTCACAGAATAACTTAACCTGTGGCAGAGTAACCTCCACTTACGTTTTATCTTAAAAGGCATTTCCTCCCCAAAGATTCCCTTCCACAGTGCCCATGTGTAGGCTGTGACCACATCTGAGATGGTCAGAGTGTAGTTCCATGCTCATCACTGGGACTGTCCTTGGGTCCAGCCATTGTTGGCCAACATCTGCTAGAGCCCATGGAGACAGGTTTGCAACCAAAGGGTGAGAATAGCATAGCTGCCACATTTGACTGGGCAGGTAGTGCCACACACAAGGGCACTGGCAGGAACATGTGGCGGGCTGACATCCAACACATGGCACTTGGCTGTATCTACCTGAGGAAGGGCAGCTTGTTCTCTTTTTTGTTGTTGTTGTTTTTTGAGTTGGAGTCTCACTCTGTCACCCAGACTGAAGTGCAGTGGCACACTCCCAGTCACTGCAGCCTCAACCTGCTGGGCTCGGGCGATCTTTCCGCCTCAGTCTTCCAAGTAGCTGGAATTACAGGTGCACGCTACCATGCCCAGCTAATTTTTGATTTTTGATTGTAGAGATGAGGTCGACTCAGGCAATCCACTCACCTTGGCCTCCCAAAGCGCTGGGATTACAGGCTGAGTCACCAAGCCCAGCCTGTTCTCTTTTTTCAATGGACCTGGGTGGGCTGGCAGTGGCTCTAGAATGAAAAATTCTACTTTGCTAAAATCTCTAAGGGCAGCCTGGGAGAGCAAGGTGCATCTTTTGATCAACACTGATTTGAATGACTTGGAAAAGGGCAGTGAGGAACAGCATCAGTGACACTGGGCATCAACCACCTCAGCAACAGACACCATGGCAGGAAACCAGATAGGAAAAAGGGAGCAGGCACATGGCCTGTGGGAGTGAGGGGAGTCATCTGGCCTGTGGGCAAACATCCACCCATCTGCCCATCACTCCACACCACAAGCAAGAGGGTCTCCGCTCTCATGGAGTCAGTCATATCTTGACAGAGACATTAAATATCCACACAAATATATCTGACAAATATTTGATGACATCAACTAGGTTCTATAAGGAAGAATTGTGGGGAGAGTCTAATGAGGACTAGGGAGGGGAATTGGGAAAGTTGGTAAGAATGGAAGGATGGATTGGCATTACCCTGGAGATGAATAAGAAGGACCTTCTGGGACGAGGAAACACTGCCCGGAAGTGGGAATTTTAGAAAAGACCAGTGCGGCAGGATCACAGAGTAGGGAATGGAGGCAAAAATGGAACTGGAAATGTCAGAGGAATCCAGATTATGGAAGGTATTCTAGTTTATCCTATGGCAGTGAGGAGCCACTGGAGTATTTTACAAATGAGTGTTCATTGATCAGATCTGCTTTTTGAAGAGTACCATGGCTTCTTTATTCTGAAAGGATTAGAAAAGGGCATGCATGGAAGAAGCAGCTGGAAGACAGGAGCCTGTCCGAACTCCAGGCAAGTGTGATGAGTGTTAGTACTGAAGATAGAAGACAAAGAATGGAGTCGAGATGTATTTTGGAGGAAGAAATGAGGCAGTGGATGGGGTGAGGTGTGAGGAGGCGTGAGAGGGCAGCCACTTTTCTGGCTTGAGCAATTCCCATCAAGATTTCTAGAGATGTGGGAGGTTGGGGGGCTGAAGGGAGAGGACATCTGAGGCCCCTGGAAGACCCTTCTCTCCTTGGTTGGGTGACCCGGAAAAATGTTGAACCTATCTGTCCTGGTGAGAGTGGCCCTACTTTGGCCCAAGAAACATGGGTGTATCTAGATAAAAGCCTGTGTTTCTTCAAGAGGGTGTATGGGATTAAGTATGAAGAAAGAGCTGTAGGAAAGGAGGTCTACAGATAGCAAGGAACATAGAAAGGTTTCTGTCTTCAAAATTTGCCACGATAGGTCAGAGTTGGAAAAACAACCAGATAACAATTGGACCTCCATATCCATGGACTGAAATATTTGAAAAAATAACACAAATAATAAATAATTCAGTATAACAACTACTTGGATAGCATTTACATTATATTAAGTATTATAAGTAGTCTAGAGATGATTTAAAGTAAAAGGAGGATGTATATGCAAATACTGCACCATTTTCTTTCTTTTTTTGAGGACAGCAAAAGAGGTGATTTATTGTATGTACCATTTTCTACATGGGTTTGAGCACCCTCGGATTTTGATATTTGTGGCAGGGTTCCTGGAACCAATCTCCCATGGATACTGAGGAACAACTACACACACACACACACCACACACACACACACACACACACACACACACACACACACACACCGAGCCATGGTTTATGGATTTCTGTTACCAATGAATATAAATTCTGGGTCTTGGCCATTTTTATAAGCCATGTAAAGCATGTCTGTATGGGTCAATGGTAAGAGAGCAAGTTGTGACTTCTGCACCGTGTATTTTTCATTGGATATGCACATTCCATTCACTACCCAAAATGAGGAGAGAGGAATTAGATACATTCACAGACACACTCTAGTCCAGCCAGTCTGCAGGCTGCAACAAGCAGGCTCTGTCCGCCAGGTTCTCCAGGCTTCCAGGTCCCGAGGATCTCTTATGGGTGGGCCTAATGGTCTATATGCTCATACACAGTTTTCCAGTTTCTAAGACCAAGTATCTGGAAGTTGCCTGAGAGGAGCCACCTGGCCTTATTAGGTGTCTCTCCAGAGCCTGGCATATGTCTTGCATATAGTAGGTGCTTAATGGGTAATTGCAAAGTGAAGGAGTAGCCCTTGGATAGCAACTGGGTCTCCCATGTGAATACCTAGACATTTGTGATCCAAACTCACCTCTTTTTGTCCAATCATTTGTAGAAAATGGCAAAATTCATCTTGAATTGAAAGAAATTTGGCTCTTCTCACCCCTTCAGAATCCTTAAGATGAGCCATGCTCTCTTGAAAATACTGCTCAGCCACATCTGAGGAGAAGCATTATAACAACTTTGAAAATTGCTCAAAGATTTGAAATGGAAACAATAAATATGCTTTTAGTGGTGGTGAACTATTTGAAAATAGGTATGTAGATAAATGCCAGCTAAAGAGACTGCCCTTTGCCCACTAATCTGCCTGTTTTATCAGAAATAATTTAAAAGTCTCAATTTACTTCCCCTAACTTTCATACATCTTAGCTTTCTCAGTGATGCATAAAGCAAAGTTAATGCAAAAGCAGAAACGATCCCCCAGATCTGAAGACACTGGTGACTTTTCAGGTGGATCAGCCATTAATTCTTCCTGTAACTCTGGTCACTCCTCACTGAGATTAGGCCTCCGAGGATCCACTTATTTTAATGGACATAGACTATATATACTCTTAGACATATTTCTATGATATGAAAAAATCTGGAAAATATCACTGACATGCTGCTGAGGGAAAAAACCTCAAACATCTCAACATACTGGTTATAATACAACAAAAAGGAAAACCTCAGGTATAGAAAATAAAGAAGGAGCTGAAAGCCAGAGAAGCGAGTGGGGGCTGAAGCTGAATGACCCGTGAGCATATAAGGGAAAAGGTACACCCTCTAAGGGCTGGGGTTTTCCAAGCCTGGGAAGGACTGGGGATGAGGCCTGAGGCCTATTTGTGGTTGGAAGCTGAATGGAGCTCTCCACAGAATGCCAGTGGAGTCGGCAGAATTCTAAGTCGATCTCAGAGATCCTTGCCCTTGTATAGTCCCTCCCTTTGGTTATGGTGGAACTTGTGGATATGATGAGATAGTACACACACAGTTGACTTTAAGAAAGCAAGATTATCCCTTGGGCCTGACTTAACCATACGAGTCCTTTAGAAGCAGAGTTTTCTCCAGTTAGTGGCAGAAAAGGAAGTCAGGTTTACAGGAAGTCTGAGAGGGGTTTGAAGGGAAGGATGCTGTCTGTTGCTGAGGTGGACAGGGCCATGATGCAAGGACATGATGTGAGAGCAGCCTGCAGACTAAGAGAAGACACCAGCCAACAGCCTTCAAGAAAATGGGGACTTCAGTTCCACAGCTGCAAATAACTGAATTGTGTTAATAACAGGAATGATAAAGGATCGGCTGTGCCCAAGCTCCAGATGAAAATGGAACTGGCAAACAAACTGATTTTAGCCTGAGCAGAGAAGCCAGCCTTACTGTACCAGACTTCTGACTGACAGAACTGGGAGCTAATAAATGGGTGTCTAAATAAATTTGTTATGCAGAAAAAGAAAGCTAATACAGGCAGTGCTGTGGTCTGAATGATTATGTCCCCCCTCAGATTCATATGCTGAAATTCTAACTCCCCTGGTGATGGTATTAGGAGGTGATTGAGTCAGGCTCTCATGAATGTGAGCAGTGCCCTTTTTTTTTTTTACAAAAAGAGACATCAGAGAGCTCCTCACCTCTTCTGCCATGTGGAACACAGTGAAAAGACTGTTGTCAGCCTGGGTAACATAGCAAGACCTCATCTCTATAAAAAAAAAAGTTAGCTGGATATGATGGTGTGTGCCTGTACTCTCAGCTACTCAGGAGGCTGAGGCAAGAGGATCAGTTGAACCCAGTAGTTGGATGCTGCAGTGAGCTGTGATACAGTGCCACTGAACCCTGGCTTGGGCAACAGTAAGATCCTGACTCCAAAAAAAAAAAGACTGTTGTCAATGAACCAGGATGTGGGACCCTCATTAGACACCAAATCTGCTGGAGCCTTGGTCTGGACTTCCCAGACTCCAGAACTATGAGAAATAAAGTTGTTGTTTATAAGCCATCCAGTCTATGGTATTTTACTATAGCATCCTGAATGGACTAAAAACTAAGACATCCAGGAATCCCTAAAATGGGAGATAAGAATAATCTTACTGGTCCAAGTTGTAGCCAGAGTTCATGGCCAATAAAAGAATATTTGAAAGAAACTGGGACACCACATGTGGGGCACACATATGTGTGGAGTATGAATTTGTATCACCTACTTGTTTTAGAAATCCTGGACCAAGAAATTAACACAGAAACTAGAAAAGTTTGAAACTGGAAAAACTACAGGGTCCTAGCACAGGGGTTGGCAAACTTATTCTATAAAGGATAAGATGGTAAATACTTCAGGTTTTGCAGACCATGTGATCTCTGTTTCAGCAATCCAACTCTGCTATTGTAGCATGAAAGCAGCCATAGAATGCATAAATGAATGAGCATGGCTGCGTTCCAATAAAATTTTATTTACAAAAACAGGTGGTGAGATGGATTTGGTCCAGGGGCATAAGTTTGCTGACCTCTGCTCTAGTAGAGGAAAATATGATGTCTTCCTCTCCTGGGAGATGTGTGGCTCCCTCCCACTAAAGTACCTGTTGGAGATGGCCTCATAGTGACATGTGATGAGCACATGAGGTTTGTTAAGGAAGATTATGATCCATACATACAGTGTCTACTTGACATTTCCACTGAGAAATCTTATAGGTATTATGTTGTATCAAACATTATCTTTTGCTTCTCTAATTCCTCTATATTTGGTTATTTCCCCTTTATCATTTCGAATTCTCTATTGTACTGTCTCCCTATTTTCTTGATTAGGCCAGTTAGTGTTTTATCTATTTTATTTTCTTTCCCAATGAATAGAACTTTGAATTGATTTTTCTCATTCTGTATCATTAATGCCAGGAGCTTCCAAAGAGGCTTCCATGATCACAAGTGCAACTCTACAGAACACACAAGAAGCAACAATTGGACCAGCCCCTGCAGAGTGTGGCTGTTCTTAGAGGCAGCAGGGTGAGTGGTGAAGGGGCCAAGTTCCAGACTCAGGCTGCCTGGGCTCAGATTCTGGCTTTGCCCCTCCTAGCTGTGTGCCTTACTTTATCGGCCTCAGTTTCCTCATCTGAAAAAGGGGACTGGTATACAGTACCTCCCTTGTAAGAAGTTGTAAGGAGTAAAAAGATTAACGCATGACATATAGTTTGTGCTTAATACATGTACATGTTGACTATTCTAATTTTAGGAACGGTTTTGATAATGGTTACTATGGGTGCCCCCACTAGAATGAATAGCAGACACACTGGAAGCAGCAAGTAGCAGGGTTGGACATTGAGAGCACCAGAACATGAAAACAAACAGAGTGATCAAAAGACACAGAAGTCTAGCATCATTTACAGACAACCTCGCACACCTCTAGAGCTCTTAAGACATGCCTGAAATTCACGAGAATCCTGGGTCTGGGAAAAGGATCTAAATACATTCTGTGGGATCTGTTTTAGAAAAGAGAGAAGTAAAGCACTTGGGAAATACGTCAGCCTAAAGACAGCTCGGGTCTGAAGCAAGTTGTGTTCATCTGCAAGGTTCACTCCATGTAGATGCTAGGCGCTTGCCAGATAAGAAGCAGGAACTACACTCAGTGCTGGCTGGCCACAGAGTCTGTAGCTAGAGAGAAGTCAACTGAACTACACTCCCCAGTCACTCCCTTCCAACAGGGTCTCTGCAACGGATGCATTTCTGGAACATTCCTCAAGCTTTTGAACATTTTGAACATTCTACCATGTGGAAAATATTACATTTCTTTTCCTCATAGCTGGCTCATGGGGAAAAAAACATTACAAATTTAATGCACAAACTAAACTTTGGCTACTTTGATAATCTGATGACAGTAAACATAAGGAATGACGTGGCATTTATTTTATTGATTCTAAAAGCATTACAGAGATGAACATTCATACCTAAAATGAATGGGGACATTCAGGAGTGGAGTACTTGATATTTTAATTTTTTGGTTAATTCTCAACTCATCTTAAGAATAAAGGCTGGCTGGGCTCGGTGGCTCAGACTGTAATCCTAGCACTTTGGGAGGCCGAGGCAAGTGGATTGCCTGAGTCTGCAGGCTCGAGATCACTGGACTCAGAGAGACTTAGCCATATTTTCCAAAGAGGATGCCTGTTAGTGAATATGGAGGACCCTCTGGAGGACAGAGTGGAAGAGAGGGAGGAAGGAAGGTATTCCTTAAACTAAGGCAGTGTGCCCACTGAGGTGGGAGAAATCTAGGTGTTGTGGTGGGCTGATGGAGACGGGCCCCATCTGGGACTCTGGTCTCTAGGGGCAGGCTCCTCAAGGTGCTGCTTCCCTCGTCCCTTTCTGAAACCTTGGCTTCTCTACAGTTCCTGGAAGGTCTCCAGTCAAAGGGGCATGAGGACAGGAAGGGAGTTCCCTGATAGTTGCTGTTACATGCAAGTTGACCACATTAGGCATTGTAAACTCATGACAGGACCATTGTATATTAGAACAGCCTAGAGCTTGGGAACAGAGGAAGCTTTAGGGTGTCCACAGTGAGTGCTCCTCCTGTCTACACATTTGAAACCACTTTTATCTTTATCTCCGATACAGGAAAGCTCCTTTATTGCAAGACCCTGACTTGTTTCTGCCACCCCTGCAGCCCCCTACATTAACTATGTGAACTGCAATCCACATGACTAGTATTTGTGAGGGGGAAAGCAGATTGAATCCTATTACCATAACAAAGGAGTGACTTCCTGAGAAGCAGAGTTTGTTCTCCCAGCAGTGGGCATCCCTGGTGACTAGATTTCCAGAGGGACAGGAAGTCACAGCCTCTGGGGTGAGATGCTACCTCCTGACATGGACCTTGTGTCTTGAAGCTGGGTGGGGTCTACAAAGAGCCAGCAGTTCCAGCAGTCTTGTACACGGCCATTCCTAACTTTAAAACCACTTCTAGAATCCTCTGCAATCTGATGCCAGTGGCCTGGGCAGAAGTTGAGGTCATTTTCTAAAACACAGGAGCATGACTTAGCTTGTGAATCTGAACCCTAGTGGCACAGGTGTTCCAAGGACATGAATCTTTTTCTGTTTTCACTCCAACAGAATGTTTAGGTTGTCTGTGAGTTAGAGCAGGAGGAAGTGTGGCCCAGTGGGCAGGGTGGTTTAAGGTCTCAGCAGGCGGTTGTCTGGGGAGTTGGAGCCATGTCATTCCCAGATGCCTG